TGGCAGGTACAGCACGGTCAGATTTCCACACCCGTTTAAATGTATAATATTTATAAGGCTTTCAGGTGTGGAAATCTGACCGCAACTGAGGTGTGGACATTGGTGCACGTAGGATTCTAAGGGGAAAGGGTTTGTGATGTTTTAGAAGTCAAGAAGCGCAACTTTTGGCACCCCAGTGTATGTTTTGTTAGCAGTGGAGTTGGTTCTATTTTGCGGTGCATCTGGACTTGCTAGCCAAGGGTCAGCGTGCCAAGTGGGGTGATCTAAACAATTCCATGGAAGTTCTTCTCCATATTCAACAACAGGTCGACTCTGAAGTGTCTTCACCCACCTCTCGAGGATCGTTCCATCATGTTCCATGTCATGTCCTTTCTCACTCCGTAGGGATCCAGTCGTACGTCCTCAGAAGGTACGACTGGACCCTCCTGGCACCTACATAAGCAGTCTCCAATCACCTTCTGACAAGGTACGACTGGATCCCTAGGGGCTAAGAATAGGCTCCTTCTGGCTCTCTCGCTTCATGGAAAAAACACGGCCAGTACGGGCATCTCCTTTTTTCAGGTTTTGGCAGTTGCTCATGTGCACTTTTGCTTCGTTGGCGAATTCGTTGGGGATGTCCTTGCAAGTACTCAGTATCGTCTGGCTTGTTGCTCATCATATTCCCTATCCTTTGGTGTGTAAGTTTAGAGGTCCAGAGGTCCTTTTGGATACAGGATATGACCATGTGATGCCATGCTGAAAGACTCCTCTGAGACTTCACCAAGTCTTCCAAGTCTGCGTCTTCGAAGAATGAGGGGCCATCGACAGGTCGCACGCCCAGCTTTGTGCCTCTACTTCGCGCGTTTACAACACCAACTGCTGATGGCCTGCGGGTTGTGGGATTGAGTGTTGAACTGGGCGCTTGAAGATTGGTTTGAACTCTGGAGGTATTTGGGTGAGAGAACCACTGGCCTCATGTGGATGGCACTGATATTCCGACGTTTAGTAGGGTGGATGGTGGGACAAAGGTCATTTGGAAATATTTGGAAAGATGTTTGTTTGAGCTGCAACTTGATGAGCTTTAACAGCTATGCTTCGATGTTGGCAGATCTCACTTGGAAAGTTTCCACCTCGGGGAAACGGGTTGGCAACGAAGACCTTGTCGGGTTTTGTGGCGAGATGTGCCGCTTGAGCTCGTTGGGCTTGGTATAGATGTGGGTGATGTGGCAACGTCACAGGTCTTCCTCAACGTCACAAGGAACTCGCTAAGCACTCTGTAAAGCTCTTGGGGAGGCCCCGGCTTTTGAGTTTCTTTCATATCCGCAAGTTTAGATGGCAAGATGTCGAAATTCACTTGGACTGAACTAGATCCTATAGATACATCATGATACATCTTACTTTTTTACCTCCAAATCTACACAAATATAAAGCCCAAAAACATCATTGCAATTTTTTTCTTAGGATAATGTCGATCCTCCTGGTAGATGATCACAGGAAGTCAGAGCATAACGACATGGGCTTTGGAGGGCAGAACAGCAGCCGCCCTACTCAGCGTTGTCCGTCCCTCCTCCATGACCGTGTTCGAGATCCCTCAGCCAGTTTGTTGAAATGGGGATCCCCAACTCATGGGCCATGAGGATCGGTGGTAAAGGGTCTCCTGGTCTTTTGGAACACCAACCTTGAAATTTGGAAGAATGCCGCCCATCCGACGAAGCTTTGCTCTTCATGGAAGCATGGCTCCCTATGTTGATTTTCCAGAGCGAGAGCACCAAGGTGCCGCGGTGAGAAGGGTGCGCTGCCCACCAATATCGCTATTCGGGTCTATGCTGGCGCAGGGCTCACTGTCACCTCGTCCTTTGTCTATCGATCCGTCATAGGCAGCGCGCGATGATGGAGCACCGCCGGTGATGATTCCGCTGAGTGTCCCTTATAGCGACGCGCGAAGGCACCAACGGGTGAAAGATGAGAGGAAACGGCCAGTTCATAAGGCATGGGTCTTTAGGAAAGGCCAGCCTTTTATATAATTAAACTGCAGGTAGTACATGCAGCATGCAGGCCTATCTTTGGTATTCTAGGACGGGACAAGTGCAGAACTTTTGCAAATCCCAAACGGACCTGTGTTAAAACATGTGTTTGTCCTGCCTGTTTTCGGATCCTCCTGAATGACAGTGTATGTGGGCTGTGAGCTGATAATGATCTTTCTTGGACCCACAGTGCACGGGTGCTTAAAAGCCATAATTGGATATCATTTGCCGTTCCTAGTCAAATGACCCAGAACAACCACGTTCATTCTCGTGTCGAGTTGAATTGATAATATAGAACCCCGTAAAACCTAACCAAAATACGGGATACGAATCATACGAACCATGTCTCAACCCAAAATCTACTAAAGTGTGAAACCACCCCCAAGTTTCCGCACTCATTTTGTCTCTTTTCTGGCCAGTGTTTGTTGTTCTTTTCCAGGGTTCCAACCATTGGGCCCTGGCGCTTGCGCTGGCAGACCCAGTGGTTGCCACAACGGGTCTGCGGCAGACCCCACGACCCCAGTCCAATCTGACTCAGTCAAATGAGGTCTTTAATTTAACCGGTAATGTCAACATAGGATTAAGAGTAACCACCTCCTATTCAATCCCAGCTCGAGCCCCAACTAAACTAAATTAGAACCTGCATTTCATGGAATTTCCACCTTGATATCCCCGTTACTATGTTTTTCAATGTTGTTTCCTGGCCAGAAACCTCCCCCTATTAATCAATCCCAGCTGCCCCAGAAAAAAGAAAAAACACATTATACTATTATATTATATATATATTTATGTATGATTCTTTATATTATTATCTACTTTCTTTTTGGCTAGCATCTAATATCTTTTGGTCCATGGTGAAACTGATCTTCTGATCCACCCTTTTCCCATTCTGATCCTCTCATCCATCAATCATTCTGATCATTCTGCTTGCTTTCTCATCCTTCCCAGCAGATCCTTCCCAGCAGCAATCTCCTCATCTTCCTGATTCTCACCACCACCTTTCAATTTCTTCATCCTGCTCACCAATCTGTTTGATGGCTTCTCCTAAGGGCTCATGCTACCAACACTCCCCCCAAAAAAATATCTAGCAAAATTCGTTCATATCCTCCTTTTTAAAACTCTATCACAATCTTCCTATCAGATCTCTTATCAACCTTGTGCCAATACTCTCAGAGCTCTCATGGTTCTCATGGTTCTCATGGTTCAGTCTCTCATGACACAGAATCCCATCAACCATCATCCATCATCAGGGGATGTGGTCCTCATCTCATCATCCGTCATCAGGTCATCATCTTTATTAAGGGGATGTGGTCCTCCAATACCTCCAATCTCAAACCTTGTTGACCTTGTTGACCTTGAAGGGGGTCCCCGTTGATTATTCCTACGTCGACATTAGGGTACTGTTACTGCACAGCGCTTTCCTCAACCCCGGCAAGACCTTTCTGTTCCAGAAGTCCGACGAGTGAAGTGTCGGGTATGTGTATTAAGGAAGACCGACCACAAACAACAACCCCTGTAGGTTTAAACCAAATTTGGGCCAGGGGGTCTCAGTCACGCTCATATGACGCCTTGCCTCACTGAAACCGCGAGGCCGACGCAGGGGAGCATGAAGATCACAGTGGACACTGGTCACGGGCGATCGATGTGAGTTGTGAATGAACCGATGGAGCTCCTGGTGTTGGTGTTGTCGAAATGCCCTTTGTTGCGTTCGTAGCTTCTTGTTACGTTTGTAGCTATGGCCAGGGTCGCCCCGGAACTCGTCGCGTCCGACCGCTCCGGGTCCCCATCGTCGCCTCCGATCGCGCGGGGGAAACCGCATCCGTTGGTAGCCATGAGGGGTGTTCAATGAGCCATTAAACAGACGTTCACCTTCACCCACGTGGACGAACCTGGAGCTTCGCCAGACCGATCGCCACCCCTCCGTCCGGGGGCCGCGTTTCCGCCGTTCGGCGGCGTTCCGCGGTGTCAGGACGTCTCCGTGGCGGACATGAAGCATCAACTGTTCCATTTCCGAGGCGCGGACTGGGCCCCGGACTGGATCCAGAAGTTCCGACGGCGTGAGACCGGGCTGCTGGCGGAAATTGAGACCCGGTGGAAACGATGTACAGGTGTCTTTGTCCGGGCCTAGGGCTCCAGGAGGGAGCCCTCGACGTGAAGGTGGGGGTTACCAGGAGGGTCCCAGTTCATACCTCCCAGATGCTGCATCATTGGAGCATCTGGGAGCCCTCCACGGGGTGCACGATGTGCCACTTCCGTACTCGTCGCCCTCACGGACTGAGTCACGTGCTTGGAGGGGCCGGGTGGCTGTTTTCCGGACTCGTCGGTCCTCGCCGCCGGTGAGGTATCACCCTGACAGTGAACGGTTTCGGCCTCAGGGGCCTCGGCGCCGAAAGCGTCGGCTTTGGGACGAACAGGAAGACGAACGAAAAACCGGTGGGAAGACGAAGTCAGACCTGCAAGAGGAACGGTTGCACACCTTGACTGGGGTGGAGAACTTGTTGTGATTGAACCAGGGAGGATGTTTTTTTGGCCCCAAGATGCTAGAAGAATTATACGAAGAAGCAGGAGTGCGTCAGTTCTTGAGTTGAGACTAGAACCAAAGGTCGGATTGTGTCAGAGCTCCCCTGGCCCTAGCCCCTAGAGTTGGTGGGGAACATCCTCATTGATCTCATTGTAGAACTGCACAAAAGCCGGAGCCTAGTCATTGAGTAATTGATAAACATATAGACTGGGTTGCTCCCTCAAGTTGTTGATTTCATCATGTTGCCCGGTGCCTCATCCGTCGGCACCTTCACACATTACACACGCAGTTGTGGTTTGGTCAGCTTCATCTTGTCAGTCAACATGATCGAGATGTTGCACAGCTTGGTGAAAACGGCAGACTTGTTGCCAGAGCAGCTGTGTCTGCACTGGCTTTCTTGAGACCACAGCACTCATGCCAGCGTCGCCAGCGTCAGCCATTCGCGCCCCAGGCCCATGGGCGGATTGTTGTGGACTCTATGCGCCTTGGCCGACCTGATCACAAGCATATCACAGGGAAAGTCTCCTGACATAGGAAGAAGAAAAGAAGGAAAAGAACACCCACTATGACTGGAGGGTTCGTGACCAAAAACGACAACAGCAACTCAGCAACAGCAACAAAATGATGTCTAATGTACATGTGCAGATGGCATGGCACAGTCCACTGGGATATTCCTGTCCGTGTATGCTGGAAAAGACCAGTTTCGTCCTGACCCACATGTGGACCACTATCCCACCTATTAAAGAAAAAAGCAACGCCCCCCCCCCTAATAAGGACACCTCCGGTCGCATTTCAAATAGGGGGTCCCTGAAATCGGGGTTTGTCCAAAATAGGGTCACCTGGGAAGAGCTTCAAAACCAAAAAGTCACCCAGGAAAAGTTTCATATAAAATCCTTTGTTAAACTCGTATCAAAAATCCAAAAAACCTCCAGATCAAAGGGTCTTTGTTTTCACTACACAAGCGTTTATTGGTTTTTTTTGGAACCTAATAGAGAAAGCTCCTCCAAAATCGGCCATGTTGGTAGTTTAAATTTAGTAGCGGCTTTAAAGGGCGGTAATGTAAAAACGAATATAGACCGTATTTAGGGGGTTCCGACATTTTTTTTAAATTGGGGTACTTTTTTAAATAGGTACTCGGCTTGGGGTTACAGTTAAATTTGATTATATAATATTTATATATCTAAGCTAATATATTATATGTTCACAATTATACACGCATCTGTGATTCTGTGTGTGTGTGTGTGTTTGTGACAGCTCTTTTTTTTGAGAAGCTGTTTACGGGCGTGGCATTCAAGCTCCTGAGGTCATGGATTCAGGATTCCAAACCAGCCTGCCAAAAAGACTGACAGGAGCCATGGTTTCCCATATAAGATGCTCCCTTTAACCAATCAATGGATCATACCCAGACATTCCATGGGACTGCCAGTGGGACTGCCATATTTGCTGAGAAACGGCCAGGGGGTGAGTGAGTGAAAGGGGGGTCAGACGATGAGTTTGGGCGGCATACATTCCAGTCACATACCAGGACCTTCAAACTGGCCGTTTGATTTTTGGTCCTTCGATATCATGAGCAAAGAGCCTCTCATTTATCAAAGAGTCCCTTATATCAAAGGCCCTCTATATAGAGGTCGTGTTTGGGATAGACACTTCTAGAACATCTGATGTTCACCACCAGGTCCATGCATTGCCTCTACGGCCCTCTCAGGCCCCACCGATGGGCAGAGATCTTTTCGCCCCCAGCGACGGCGGAAAGGTGCGAAGAGGGTTCCGCCCACGGTTCTCGGGTGAAAGGGCGCCAAGCAATGGTCAAGGTTTAGGACCTGAACCCTCCCAGTTGGGTACCCCGAAGTAACTGAGGGCGTCCTGCAATTCAGGTCACGTCATAGCCTCTCTCGGAAGGTCATCGTGTTGGGTGCCGGAGTCTGTTTTCTTTGCATGTCCATTTGGCGATGTCTGTTTTCGGCGTATGGGGGTCCAAGACCCATGCAATGTACTCCTGGTTTAGTAGGGCAGGACAATTCACTAGAGTTGGACGAAAACCGCCGGGGAAATGCTCGGAGCTTCCATTTGGGCTGGGATTCCTAGCTTCAGCTTCCCCCTTTTGGCGTTCCAGCTTGGTGAAGGTGATGCGCTTAAGACTTCTTTAAGAAGGGCCCAAGTTGAATTCATATTCTCAGGATCCCCAGGAGCATGAAAAATACAATCGATGCTGCAAGATCCTGACATGGAGAAATGATAAATCATGGAGTCCATGGAGAACGACAAGCTTTAGACAACGGCAGTTCTTATACCTGGAACTTCGTTACGGCAATAATAATTGCCGTTTTCATGAAACGTCGCCTTTTTCCGTTCTGCGGCGTTCTTCCATATTCATCTCATAGGGACGGCGTTTCTTGATGAACTGCGGCAGTTTCGGTCAGTTGACGTCAATTTTGGTCCACACATCCATGCGCCTCAAAGAGTCATTTCGTTTTAGTTTTAGTGCAGGCGAGTATGAAAACATTGTAGGGTCTTGCTTGAAAGGCAACTGAACGTAAAAGGCGTCTTATTATATCAGCAAACTCGCATAGTCATGTGAAGTGGAAAGGGCAGCTGATGGAAGTGTCACATGCTGGGTTTTCGTCGGTTTTCGCGGGTAACTCGACCTCTTGTGCGACGATTCTTCTTTTGTGACGGCGTTTTCACTTCTCTGACGGCGTTTCACTTTCCAGGGATTGAGCTACGGCAGAAAAAATGAGTTACGGCAAAATTATTGCTTCAACAGCCTACGGCAAAAATTATTGCCTCGGGAGGGTCTAGGTATCTTAATAAGCTATGTATGTAGAGTCTTACCATGTCCCTCTCATGTGAAATCAGACATCTCAGCGTTTCATAGATGTCTCTTTCATGGTCTGATCTTGCTGCACCAGTCAAGAGGTTGTCACCTCACAAATCGAATCTGGAACCTGTGACAACCTGTGCGGTTTTGGGTGTTCAAGCACGATCGTCCAGCTATCACCCTGCAGAGAGCGGCACCATAACACCAGACTCTGTAAAAAGTAAGCTTCTTGCTACTAGTAGCTTCAAAGACCTAAAAAGCTTCTTGTTACTACAGGTGAAACGATTCCCAGTGAAACGATTCCCACGGAAGCTTAACTGCTATAGGCGCCTGTTGTTTTGTGAGGAAAGGCGTGACACGCCGGCCTGCGGATAAGAACCGTTCCGAACGCACCAATTTCTGTACGAATGCTTTCCGCTTGTGTGTATGAACTACGTAGTTATTACGTATAGTTATTACTCATGGGCCACCAAGGGAAGCACCCATTTTCATATGGCCCATGGCAGTGTGTCGATGTCAAGCCTGTGCTGCGGCTTTGTTGCATCGGTTCGCTTCCAGTGACCCGCCAAGAGTGGTGCAGAAGGTATCAACGGAAGAGCGATGAACACTCATCCGTTCAATATCCACCGCGTGACCCGGTCTTTTCTTGGACATACTTTAACCCGTTCTTGCAGCTCCAGATTTGATCAGATTTCGTTCACTCCGCCTTTCTGTCAGCGTTAACCGGGGGAAAGATATGATAGGACCATTTTCCACAACCCACGCAACCCAGTGGCTATGTGGCTCTGAAGTTCCATGGTGGGTCTCTGCAAAAAGATTCTTCCAGGGCGTCCCACGTCTCGTTTCTGTTTGTTCCGAACGCTCGAACACCCCCGCGTGAAACGCTCTCGCTCTCCACCAGGCGGCCCTCAGTACCTTGGCGAACATCGAATCGGTGAACACGTGGGGAGCGGCGCTCGAGCGGACGCTACGAACGGGGCTCTTGGCAAAAAGATTGAGGGACACCATCGGACACTCAACATGAGTGACTCATGGAAATAGGCCGCTCAGTTCAGCAAGAGAGTGAATTGAAAGTGGACATGAAAGAGACATGTGACATAAAGTGGACATGATTGGCAACATTTGGCAAGCATGATGGTCAGGAGTTTCGAGACCAATTGACATCAATCAGGCTGCTTGCTGCTGCAAAACCCCGTGTTGTTGGGATTTGATCCTTCATGCAGAGTTTCCTTTGAGAGAGGGCTGCTTCCACATTCCACAGACACACGTCAATTACCTCTACACCTCTACAGAGAGTTTGATTGTGCTGCCTCCACATCACTCAGGCCCACCTTTGGTTCCTGAACAAGGTGCTTGTTCTTTTATGAGGCACATCTAAGTTGAAAGAAAGGCCCCAGGAACCCTCTGCCGTACCCGTTCCAACTCCTCCGAGTTAGACGCGCCCAGCTCAGACCACCTCTAGCGAAGCATACCGCGGTCGTGGTTGAAGATACGTAGGTAGACCCCTTGGCCCAAGGGGATGTAGCTACCCGAAATTCTCCCTATTTGAGCTAGATGACTCGATGACTGTGGCTCAAAGTGAGTCTCTACCGGGTTTGGGCCAACCCAGTTGCCCCAGAGATTTTGAGGAGGTGGTGCACCGGTCACCTGTGGTGCACAGAGAGACAGGTAGTGCACCGGTCCGGTCGACCATCAGGTCACCTGTGGTCCTGGTGGTGTTTGGTTAATGGAAACCTGTCGACTTCTAGGTATCGTTTGCTTGCGCGATGATGGAGTCTACAGGCGGCCGGGCGCTTTTGGTTTGGTCAATTCGGGATGTCTCGGGGCCCAGATGGGGTGGCCCAGCTGGTGATGTTTGTTTTGTCATAGCCTGAAAGTCCAGGCATCCACCAGGACCTGCAGAATGAGGTCCCTTAGACACGCGGTCCTGGCACTCTCTTCGATCCTTTCCTAAAATTTGTTTTGAAAACACCTCCAAGACACCAGGTTGGCACATGCGTACGTGCTGGCTGTTTGTTTGAACTAAAAGGCGACTGATGACACTGGCATCATCACAAAAATGGGAAACAAACACCCTTTGCCGCATGTTCTTCAAAGTGGCTGAACTTCATCCCCGGCTTTGAGGTCACAAACAGACCCCGGTGATTTGGGGTCATTTGGGGACTCCAACAAAGGTCACTTTGAAGAAGCTGGTGGTATTTACCTAATATGGCGGACTAGCAGATAGAATTCGTTTACTTAAAGTTGCAGTTAGAATATGGCCATAAACATGAAGTTAGAAATATATGAGGATGCATGAAACGGATGTAAACGGTGTTTTTCCGTGAACGAATTGCGCCATACGGTACGTCCCACCATTTGTTGTCCAGTATGTTTTAACCATGCACCTACTGAACTGTACAAAAGCCCAGGTATATACATACGAGGGTAGGCTTGGAAACGGAAACAGCATAGCAACCACGATTGCACATGCGGCACATACGAGCAGGACAACAACAATCAGCGCATAGAAGCAGTGTACTGCATTGGTAAAAAGATTCACAACAAGAAAAATAACAACATTGGACTCCTGCATTGAGCACTTGTTTGTCTCATGTGCTTTCGATGCCTTGCGCAAATACAATAGGTAAACTGTGTAGAAATAGTGCAGTTAAAGTATGCAAAGAATCTATGGGAAACAGCCCACATGTGCACATGCCAAGCTTCTCTTGACTTCTTTTGCTTGTCTCTCTTCCTTTGTGTTGGCAAGACACGGTGGTTTTTGAATGTTCGCCTGATTCGCCTCCTTTCTGAACTGCCCATAATATTCTATCTGCTAGGATCATCCCCAGGGTCATTGATTTTGGAAGGTTGGGTTTGGGGCATTAATTTAAACCAGAAACTTGTTGATTTCATATTCTACTAGGTGCTGGGGAACTTGAGGAACCGCCGTGGAAAGGTGCTGGAGGTGTTGGTGCTTTTCATTGCTTTTCCATCGGATGGATGGGCTCCGAAGTTGATCATGATTTGAGATCACTTAAGCCAAACACTCCATGTATGCCATATTTGCATGCCTACATTGGGGTGGTTGAAAAGGGGTCAATGGGGCGGCATATACACCGGACTGGCATGGAGTGTCTGAGTAATAAAGAGCAGTTCCATTGTGCATCCCTCGTCATTGGTGCGTTTAAGCATGAAAAGTCCTATCTTCCAAGGTCTGGGGCATCCAATATGGATATGAGAACCCTTCCCCGCGAAACGTTCAGCGGGTTCTATCGGATTCTCATCCAGTGCTTCTTGGTATGTCTTGGTCATAGTATGTCATAGTCATGTACTGTCACATAGAATTTCTATGGCTTCGACTGGAGGCCTTCTTTTACCTCGGATCGTACTGTGACACTCACCAGTGGGTTAGTTTAAACATATATGTTGATATCGATGTAGTCGTGATCCCGTTTCGGAGAAAGGCCAGGTCTAGCCGCTCTAGCCGCTCTCTCAGCTTCGCTGGTTTCAACGGTCTGCTCCGAGCACGACGTGCTCGGGGTTTCAACGGTCGTCTACCAGTTCCGGTCGTGTGTCCCGTCGTGGGGTCGAGTGTCTGGAACTCCAGGCGTACGCCAGGAGTTCCATTTCCTGCGGACGTGAGACCAAGCGTGTGTCCTCGTGTGTCCCAGGTTACCCGTAGATGAAAGACTAGAAGACTAGGACCTGACCTGTACGTGACCTCTTTGGAGTGTCGACAGTGACCTCTTTAGGGACTAAGATTGACTAGGTGACCGAATATTCTGAAGTCTCAAGTTAGGTCACTTTGAAAGTCCTGGGTGACTATTCTTGACATGGCCTGCAACTTCATCATCATCCACTGGGCCCTGGTCATACACCCTTCTGAGGAACTAAAGATGTGATCGGTGGCCATCAGCACCCATCAGCCTTAGCAAAAAACATGTTGCCAGGTTACTTCAATATGTTGGTGACAGATAAAGGGATATAAAGTGGTATATATACAATAGCATATCTATATATATATGATGGAATTCATGTATGAGCCCCTGGCGCCATGGTTTCTGAATTGATTGGCTGGGTCGCCCCTGAAAGAGTTGAATTTGTGATCGATCATGCTTAGGTCCTGAATCAAAGCCAACAACTGCGACCAAGACCTAACAGGTGGTGTTTGGGTTCTTTGGGTCGTTTCTGGGCACCAGCCTTGTCAAACACCGACAGCATGATCTTGACGTCCCTTCAGAGCACGACTCCACCGACTCCACCGACCCAACCGACTCGCAACGACCGACCGACTGCACCGCCCCGTTCGCGCGCGGGCTCGCGTGTGGAGGCCGTGCGACGTCCCCCGGGCACAAAGCGACACCTTTGCAGCCGGCACCCCGGGGACACCGAAGACTGGTCCATCCGAGGGAGGGAGAGGAGGTGTGCCTCCAGGGCCGCCCGAAGAACGCCCGAAAGCTTTCGTTGTGTTTTGGTGTTTCATTTTAGATATTGATATGTTAACGTTCATGACTTTGATGTAATTGTTGGGTATATCATCAATATCAGGGCCTTAAAGGATCTTCATGTTCGTCACTGTTTGTTTTCTGGGATTTGATTTGGTCACTTCATCTTCTGGCAGCCCTCATTTTTTCCAATGACGTCACGTTTTCGGTCGACTCGTCTCTCAACGTTTGGCAAAACATGGCAACGTCTGCGTTTCCATCCTTTCCGCCATGCGTATCGCCTTCTCCTGTCGATGTCACCTCTTGACTTCCAAAAAGGGTGCTGAGCATCCGAAGAAGGAGACTGGCCGTCTCGTTTCGGTGGCCGTTTCGTCCGTCACCAAGACGGAGGCATCCCAAGGAGACTTAGGCCGATGGCAAGGCATCACTGTTCTCTTCTAAAATAAGGCAGCATATACCTAGAGAAGCAAAACACTAACAATTTGTAGGTTTTTTCTATAGGGAAGAGATGGAAAACATTCTCTTTTCCTTAAAAAAATTGTCTTTTTCTAATGTACTACGTTTTCTTGGTATCTTGTTTCCATAGGTAGGCATAAAACATTCAATATTATTAGGCGCCCCACAAACCAATCAAGACCTGATTTTCCCTTGTATGTTTCTTTTCATGGATTTGAGAGCCACTGGTATATACTCATATACATATATATATATATGACCCAACCACATCTATCCGGTCCACTCCACTTTGCCCAATGGCTCCATATGGTCCACTCAACCAAGTGCTTCTCTGAGGTTTTCGGTTCACCTGGGATTTTCCCGAGCGCTTTTCGGTTCACCGGGGCCTGACTGTTGGATCGATGGTACCGCACCGAAAAACCCCAAGGAACTCGGTATCCATCGACTCTTATCGACTCTCTTCGACTCTTCTTGATTTTGAATTGGACAACAAATCCATCTGTGGGGGGTTGATTACACTCCCTGAAAGAATCATGGAAGTGGACAGTGGCCCTGAAAGGAAGACTACAGGCTCCTCTACCAAGAGGGTGTGGTCCGCTTCCATGATTGTTGCAGGGAGGGCAATCAGCAGTCTACATGTCGACTACACAGCTTTCAGAGGATCGACGGCATGACGGCACCCGAAGATGTCGAAAGAAGAGAGGGTCGGGTCCATACACACTAAAACGAAACTGGGGGTAACTTGTGCCATCTAATCTGAAACCACATGAAACCACAGTTTGTTTTGGATTGGATCCATAGCTTTGCGCATGGTCCGAGGTTGCAAAGCTTCCGGATGCTTTGCATTTGGACTGCTTGCGAGGAAGGCTGGCCCTCGGCCAGTCGAGTGGGTGTTAACACGTGTTAACATGTCCACCAAAGCGTTTTTCCACGTAAATTTCGCGGCCAAAACTGATATGTGGCGATCTGGAATGTATGAATTCGAGTTTGACCTTAGAAAGGGATAACCAGGAGATACCAGGAGAACTGTTTTTGGCCACGTACAACGTTTTTGTGCTGTTTTTTTAGACACTCCCGCACCAGTTTAAACAGAAGTTTCTTGCATAAGAGTCACTGAGTCCGCGTGGAAGATGTGGAAGGTTGGATGGTTTGCACACCTGCGATCCCCTGGAGTCGCCACAAGTCTAGTCTTGTGACCCCCCTGTGGGAAAAGACATCGGTCTTCACCCCAGGGTCGCCCGGGTCGAATTCTTCGTCCAACCGGGAGAATTCGACTCGTGGCGGTTGACTCCTCCGGCCTGATGAGCTAAGCCTGATACAGATGATTCCAATGATAGGTGCTGCAGGAGAATCGAGAATCACGCACGATTCTCGACGCTTCTCCGCGACGCTCCGCACTCGGTCTGCCCTAGTAGCCTCGTCTTGGTTTTTGGACCGGTGAAATCACCCCGCTTTTGGCCGAAAGCACGTCCCGTTCCCGTGGTCTCGGTCAAGCACGCGCGTTTCGGTCAGCCCAGCGCATCGAGGCCAATCGTGGAGGTGCGGCGTTGAGTTTTCCATCCTTTCTGCGGCGGAACACGGCCACCGCTGTGTTGTTTCCGCCACTGTAATGGCGCCCAAAAAGTGGGCCACCGCTGGGTCGGCCAGTCTGCGGGCCCCGCAGTGTGTTTTTTTCTTCTTTTGAGGGCTCCGGGCTCCGGGCTCTAGAAATGATGAAGGAGAGAAGGAGGATCGTTGGAGCCACCATAAGGTGGCACAGCGCAAATAGCATGAAGGCTCAAGAGCTAAGATCGTTAGAAGACCTAGAAGCTTAGCAGTTGTTCAATGCATGATGATCTTCCGCCATCCTCCGCCAGATGAACTCCCGTTGAACAGCAAAAACTCCCTGGCATTGAACGCTCCCATCGTATTCCGCGGGATGTGTTTCGCTGATCCTCCATCTTGAACCAAGCTGAAGTGTTTATGCCATGGTCCAAGAACACCGGACGGTGGGACACAAACGTGGCAGAGCTCCGGAAGAAAGGAAGACTATGTGTAGTATATACCCTGGGGCTCCAACCACATCCTCAGGTTCGGTAGTTAGACCCCCAAAACCTACCTCACCCACCGAACCTCAGGAGGTGGGCCAGGAGCCCCATAAGTCTGAAACTGAGAAATGCTTTCTTTCATCCCGGATCCCGACTTTGCCCCCAGGTGCCTGGCAGAATGTGCAAGTTGAATAAAGGACTTGGTTTTGCATATTGGGTGGTTTCCCTAGGGCTCCAACCACCTCCTGAGAAGATGGTTGGGGTGGATTTCAGGGGTCTAACTACCTTCTGAGGATATGGTTGGAGCCCTAGGGTTTATATGTTCCCGATAGATGAATTCCTTTCGTCTGGGAATACTGTATGATACTGTGTGTGCGTGTTTCCCGGCTCCTGAATGCAAAATCCAGTACCAAGGGCGATGACTGCGCGCATTTTTCATCTGTTCCAATGCACTGTTCGAACCGCTAGTTGCAAGCAACACATCTACATGGTCCAGTTTGTGTGCCATGCAGTTGAAGTCCTTTTTGTTGAAGAAGCGCAGATATTCTGCACTATCTCACTATCTCGTTTCCAGAGCATGCTCTGAGGACACACTTGGTTTGCTTTGTTTCATGCGGTCAGTGACCCACAAAACAAGAGCACAGTCCTTCTTTTGGCATTTCACCATATGGACGCCCCACCTGTCCTTTTGGAGCTTGTGGGACAAGAGTTCAGGAGAATCCCATCCCGCCGCCGTCCGGCTTTCCGGTCTTCGACTGAGCGACGGAGAGCACGACAGCATGATCGTTGTCCTTCAGAGCTGCTTGCTGGGAACAGCAAGCCATCAGAGCCCATCAGAGCCCAGCCGACCGACCGTAGACCTGATACAGTATAGCCACTCAAGAGAGCTCATAGCCCCCATAGCCACCAATCAGTCCGGTGAGTGGATGTGACCGGGGCACCCAACTCCTTCCGTTCGGCAACGGCACGCCGACGAACGTGGCTGCCGGTGCATGATATATCCCTAGGGCTCCAGGCTCCAACCATATCCTCAGAAGGTAGTTAGACCCCTGAAATCCACCCCAACCATCTTCTCAGGAAGTGGTTGGAGCCCTAGGGCAGCTTGGCTCAAAATCCTCTCGAAGCCTCTTTTATGACTGGTTTGATGGAGTCGATGGTTGATTTGGTCGGAGGATGGTACTCGGCTTCTAAAGACAATATAAAGGAACTGGTCATGATGGTGTTTCTCCCGTTTTCGGGAGATCGGAGCCTTGTTCGCCGGTGGGGTTCGCTTTTGGGTGACCTTTTTGGATTCCGCATGGGGGCCGTCAACGGCTGTTTCTGTTCGGTTTGGTGGGTTGGTTTGCTCATTGGTAGGTTTCCTAAGAATCAAGGACCCTCAAAGGGTTTAGGTTTTGAGGGTCCAAACCCCTGCTTGGCGCAGGGTCAAACCCTTCCAGTTTGGAGGGTCCTATGATGGTGTCGAGTTGCTTTGGCTTGGTCACGGACGAAGGACGAAGGCGAAGCACATCGAAGCACCATCCGGTGTCCAACTCTGAAGGCCCAAGTCGTGGGTGCGACGCATGGTGATTTGGGGTGTTTGGCTTTCCGATATATTAATATATATATATATACCAGCACCCGACTCTACAGGTCTTCTCTGGTGGCTTTTGGAGACCTTGTGAAGTCGGGTGCTGGTATTTATTACTCGTGACCTTGTTGGGTGGTTGAAAACCATCGTGCCCAGATCCACACGGTGGTGATTCTTTCGGTGCTCTCAGTCTCTCGCGCACGGAATCCACACGAAATCTGAGACGAGGATTCCTTGCTTGGGCCCCGAAGAGAAGCGCTCTGGATACCACCACAGATGCAGTGGTTGATAAGTGTTGATTTAACAACCACAACAAGAAACAACAAGAAGCAACAACAAGAACAAGAACAGCAGCAGCAGCAGCAACAACAGCAAGCAGTGACCTGTTATTCTTGAGTTGTTTTTTTGTTTTTTAATGTGTCGATCAGATTTCATCCGTGACCTGGACTGGTGCCTTGGGCACGCTGGCTTGAGCCAAGGGCTTCTTCCTTTAAATAATACCGAATTCGGATGGTTTGTGTTTGGTCCGTTGGGTTGGAGGCCATCGCTAGTAGGTTGGAGGCCATCGCCAGTAACTAGCAGACTAGCAGGTTGCTTTCACATCATTGTCATATGATTTCTCCTCTTCGGGTCGTTCAGGTCTCCGAAAATACCGGAAAAGAACCGCACAAACCCGCACGGCGTGGTTCGCTTCGTTCGACCATTTGTTCCGATACGTGGACCGAACATGTCCCCTGGGATCGAGGGGAAAAAACACATCTCCCAAAGGCTCATTGCACCCTCATAGCGTCTGGATTTTGACCCTCCGCCAGGGTGAACTGGACCGGGCCGAATGGGTCGCCTCTGGGCTCGATCCATTGGACATTTTGGGTGCCACTGTCACATCCACTGGATGGGACTGTCCCACCACACCACCCTGTCGGCCCAGTTTGGTTGACTCCTGCAGTTTTGGTTAAGACGTGGGGGGTTCTTGATGCAACAAAAACTGCAAAAAGACGGAATCGAAACGAATGTCGCAAAAGCCCTAGGGCTCCTGTCCCATATCCTCAGAAGGTGGTTAGACCCCCCAAACCCACCCCAACCATCTTCTCAGGAGGTGGTTGGAGCCCTAGGGAAGACACGAACCGACAAGAGATTCGATGTCTTGACGGAATGCCGTCGGAATGCTTTGGGAGGCATAGGAGAAGGTTTTAAGTCGAGCTGCAGTTTTGGGAACGGCTATCCATGTTCAGTTTGGGGGAATGGTGGTCAACAGGTCAGTGCTCCACACGTGGATGGTTGAATCTGAAGACCCAGGCTGCAACAAAGAGTGTCCTTTTTTCCAAGACTGCCCACGAACACTTCCGACACTTCCGGTTGCTTGACTGGGCTTTACTGCAGCCCGCTCTCGGTGATCCTCAGGGCGGAGAGGTGGTTGGGGGTTCCCAAAAACGGATAGCTAAGGAGCCGGAAGTATCCATATTTCCCCAGCCGGGAGCCGTTTGGAGCTACACCCGTTGTTGGGTTATAATATATCATATATTGTTTTTTTGTGTTGATTTGTTTTGCCAGCCTCACAGCCACTGTGCGCTGTGTTGTCCCGGAGTTGTCTTCGATTCTAGCACCCGCCAGCACCTGCTAACACCTTACTAATTACGTAGTTGCGGCAGCAATCTTGTGGATTGAAAACCAGAGCCACGGTGCAATTGTTCCTTAACGTGGCAACTTTTGATCCACACCATGTCTGCTTGCGATTGTTTTCCAGTGGGATGTCCGAAAGTGGTGTGGAGCTGTGGATTGTTTTCTCCTCCCAGCGAAGTGAAACATGAACTGTTGGAAGACGACTTTCCATACTGTAATGAACAAACATGGTAACATGGGATGAGCTCTATATACTTCTATATTGGGTGGCAGAGAAATTGTTCATGATCTTTCTGTTGAATGCAGATGGAGGTCGACAGTTGTTTCTTGTTTTCATCGCAGTTGCCGCACAGCTCTGAACAGCCGTGAACATCCGTGCATTCGGACATTGGGCCCAGTGGCCCAGGTCTGTTATGGCGCAACTCAGCCACCCTTTTTGGAGCTTCTCGAGACCAGCAGGATTACAGATATCCCTGGGGAAAGGATTTTGCAAAGGGCACTGAATTGAGATTCCTAGTTTTGCTTAGGGCTTAGGGTGATTTGTACTTTCCCTAAGTGACTAAGTGATCCCCTTTAGGTGAAGGCTTCGTGTTTATTCGGAATGGTTGTTAGACGCTAAAACAGGGTGCATGAGGCATACCTGGTCAAAGAATTCGCAGTCCCAGGTTCCCACAGTCTCCTGGTACAATTCGACCACTTTTTTGAGGTGCACTGGACTGTGAACCACTCACCACATCAACACTTCATGAACAACGTGGTGCTGCCAAGCTGAACTGGTTTCTTCAGGGAGGATAGCAGCCAGCCTTGTTTGTGTTCTTGAACTGCAATGGTTTCTTGTTTCTTCATGTCTTTTTGCTTCTTCACGTGCCCAGAGCCCGAGAAGCAATCCTTTCCCTCGGGTCTGTGTGAAAAACATTGAAATACTGTCAATCTGTGAAGGACATGTCTCACAGTTGCCGAGGTGTCCAAGGCAACACCCTATGCCGGAAAAAAAAAGAAAAACACACGCAAAATGTTGAATTGTCGTACCAGAACATACCATCCCAAGTTCCATCTGTGAGTTGATTGAAACATAGGAAGTGTGAAACCAATATCATCACAAAAGTCGGCTGTGGTGGAACCATATGGACATTTTGACAAACTGTCCGCATGTGAGCAGAGTCACTTTTGATGATACACAGGAATCCAGCCAAATCGAAGATGGTCGAAATTTAGTTTTTGTGCCTGGATTTGCTGATGAGGCTGATGAGGAACCTTACTTACCAACCAGGAATGCTTATGACAGATGATTTCAATCAATTTTAGTCGATATATCACCGTCAGCAGAGCCAGGCACATCAAGCTGCAGTTGCTAGCCAGCTGATTGTCTTATCAGGAGGACATGGGTTGATAATTTGATAACAAAGGGGGTCTTCCATTCGTAAGCCCCTACACCACTTGGGGACCTCCAGCCAGGACACCCCTTGAAGGTCCAGATAGGTCCAGATATCTATCCGGAGTACACCTGCCCAGTGTGCGTAGATATCTATCGCGACCGCGACTCGG